ATTTGGTGGAAAATCAAAGTCTAAAATACCACTGTTGTTTAGCCTAACGACTGGTGTTCCCATGAAGCTCCTTTTAGTAGCTTCTCCAAAGTGACTCGGTGAAAGCAACTCAATGAAAGATTCAGCACTCCCAAACAGGCCCTTAGAATGGTTGAGAGGAAATTAAGTGGTCAGTACTCAGTAATGATCTATTTTAGGTGATTTCTGACAAAGCTGGTCTCTTAGGTAGCACTCCTTAAAACACCGATGGGAGGTCAGGTCTTCTACAAGCGTAACACGTGGCAAGTTATCATAGTCCTAAAGCTGGTGCAGGTGTCTTAGCGCTCCTTAACCCAGGCTTCTGCGAGTAATTAATTTGGTTAATTTGCCATGTGTCAACCGAGTTATAAGATATGGAGTTAGAACACATGTGTCTACCGGGTTGGGCCAATCCACCCAAAAAACCTATGCCTTATTAAACTAGAAAAAGAATTTGACTTAGAAAAGAATAACCAAACACACATGAGAAATCTGTAATGGCATCGGTGAGGACTTCAGATGTGCTGCACTACTGTGCGCTGCACTTGTATTCGGTCTGGAATTGGTACCCTATTTTAGTGTGTGTAAAAAACCCATGCTGCCATTAGTAGAGGAGTACATGTTATTTTTTTCGAAGTTATTTATACTTAGGCTGCGTTTGTAATCAGTTACACGTGACGTTTTACATTGAACCATGAAAGTGATCGTTGCTTTTTTAAAATAACGATGGGTAGAAGAGTGTAAAGTTTTATATCGATAAAATTGATGTAGTTTTTACATCGATTATCAATGTAAAATTTTAGGACTGATGAGGTTTTACATCGATTATCAACATAAAACTCCACTCCATCGAAATGCATGCAAAACTGAACCAGAGTGAAGTTTTATGTCGATAATAATTACACCCTCTTTCCAAACGCCTACAAAACTGAACTGATGTAAATTTTACATCGATTCTTGATTTACATCGCATTCAAATGCAGTCGTTAAGTACATTTACCTATGTTATTTTATTTTCTAGGTAAATAAGATCATAATGATATTTTAACCATAAAAAGTTATTAATAAAATAGGCAATCTTGTCCCATCCAAGTGTTGTTAAGTTTTCCCCAAGGCTCCGTTTGTTTGCAATACAAACATGGAACTAGGGTATTTATGTATTGCGGTTCATGTTTGCAAGTGTTTGTTTAACATATATAAAATTAATGATTACCATATCAAAATTGTATTTTCTGACATTTTTGTACTCAAAAAAGAGAGCATTATTGTACTTATTTTTTCGATACAATTTTGTATTCTTTTGATAATCAACTTTTTAATCAAAGTTAAAGGCATTGGAGCATAAGGTAGCCGGAGCATTTAATGATGGCCCCACACTTAGCACCAATTTCAAACAAACAAGAGGAGTGCAAAAACGATTTAAAATCTTAATCGTGTTTGCATTCATGGACCGAAGAGAGGGTAAATATGTAGTGTACATATTTGCGTTTGCATTGCAACCAAATGCAACCTAAGGTGAAAAAGTTATGGGATTATAGCATATAAGGGCATCTTTTGGGCCCTAATATCAATAAAAGTAATAAATTTAATAAAGTTTTAAAAATAAGTTAACTTTTGTTTTAAAAATAATATAAAAAGGGGCAAAGTTATTGTTAATCATTTTCTTCTTCTAAATTATTCTTCAGAGCTGCCTGCTATTGCCTCTGGCATGCCTCCGCTTCCGGAGGTGGGTGGTGGCAGCGCTGATGACTCGGCATTCTGTCATGCACTTAAGGTGTTCGTTGAAAATATTGTGAGAAGAGAGGCTGTCTTTCTAGCTCAGACACATGATTGTAGCAGATTTTGGATCTGATGAAATAAATCCATCTCATAACTAAAAATATTAGAACCGTTGAAGGTAGTTGAAGAAGACCAATTTAGGAACTACAAGACGGAGTAACAAAGAAAGGTGTTATTGTAGAGACGGCATTCTGTCATGCACTCAAGGTGTTCGTTGAAAATATTGTGAGAAGAGAGGCTGTCTTTCTAGCTCGGACACAGGAGGATTTACAAATCCAATGCATCGAAAGGAAACCTACTGATAGGCATGTCAGTATAATTTGAAAGAAAATCTGTTTTTTCATAGGTTTCACCCTGTGGTTAAATCTATACCAACGTGGAAATTGTCTTTTGGAATGCTAAGGGTTGTAATAACCCAATGGTGCATTTCTTGAAAAGATTTTGTAATACAGAAACTCTGATGTCATATTTACATCAGAAAGAAGGCTGCCACGAGAAAATAGCCATAAGTTAGTAAGAAAGCCAACTTAATTACAAACAATATGTTATAAGAAGAGGCTAAGGAGCAGTCTGGAGGTTTGTTGTGTTGTTGGAAGGATAATATACCCTTGAAAATATAAGAAGCATCGGAACGATGGTTCATATTGGAAATGGAGAATAATACCATACTGGCGCATGGTAGACCAGTGCTGTTGCCGCCCACCTCCGGAGGTGGAGGTGGGTGGCTCTGAAGAATAACCTACAAGAAGAAAATGAACAGTAATTTTGTCCCTTTTTGATATTATTTTTAAAAAGTTAACTATTTTTGAAATTTTATTAAATTTATTACTTTTATTGATATTAGGGCCCAAAAGATGCCCTTATCTGATATAATCCCAAAAGTTATTCACAGGAAAAATAAATTTTCATACACCCCACATAAATCTTAAAAAAGAACATGAATGTCTTGGTTAGTGAGAACTAAAATCACATTGACTAGCTTTCCTCCTCTCAAAAGGCCATTAAGGCCATTTGGCTCCTGATTTTCACGATCTAATCATTTGGGTTCAGGCTGAGTGTTAAATGAGAGTGTATTAAAAATGCTATGCAAACAATTGCACCAGAGGTTCAATTTAGAAGAGTACAAATACATACAAAATAAAACAAAATACAAGGTTTTGCATTCTATAAATTTGCATTTGTGCTTCTTCGAAACTGAGCCAGAAGAGAGTAACTGAGTTGAACTTTTCTCCCTTTGGGGCACATATATAATTCATAGAATAGAAGATATTATAAGTGAATAGACCTATTCACGGACAGGGTTTCAAGGCCGAACCCATTCAAATTTTGGCAAAAACCAAACCCAAGCCCGGCCCATGGTGAAACCTTGTTAAATAAATATCAAAGTAAAGCAAAATAAAGGGAGAAATGTTTGCATGACAACTAATCAAAGTATTTTGGTGTGGAAAACCGAAAACATGGGTTTCCATGAGAGAGGCGTTTTGGGCAGACCCCTATTAGACACTACTCTGTGCCTATAATTTTTTTTATTATTATAAACAAAGGGTATCTTTTGTCTCTCCACTCAATGGGAGTGTGCCCGCCTCATGAGATTTGTCGAGATCAGACCCTTTCATATAATTGTCAAAACAGCCCAATTACTTATGTTATTACTCAGAACACCCTAATTTTGAATCATTCACCATGTGTTTTCATGAGTCATTTTCACAATAGCATAGCCTAGGTTGCATCAGTCCAATCAAAATTGGCCACATTACCCATGTTTCATAATTTAATAATAGAAATAGAAATATAAATAAATTGCGTAAAAACTTTGTAGTGTTTTGATTGGTACATAAATTTATATAATGAAGTGATATATGGTATTTGGATTTAATTTTTATGACTTGTACAGACTTTTTACAAGTATCTGCTTTCTATAGTTTAGATATATTATATAAATAAATGGTTAGTATTGGCCTTATATAGATTGGATATATTATATAAATAAATTTTGGGTCGGGCTTGAAGTATTGGTCCAAGCCCAACTTAGAAATTTATGGATCTATCACGGGCTCAAATTGGGCCTAAATACAAAACTTAGGCCCAAACTCAGAATTTCAGGTCCAAGTTAGTTGAAAATGATAATCCTTGAACCAAGTTTTTGAGTTTTTTCTTATAGTTGTGTTTGTTGATATTGCAAATGCTGAACCAAAGCAAAATTGCACTCTAGTTCAACTTTACAAGCATTTGGTAAGAGTATGTTGTTTTTCTTTCTTTTTTTGGTAAGTAGGTTAGAGTCTGTTGTATTAAGGAAGAAAGTAGATTTGATTTTTCCTGACATTCTTGCAATCTGTATTAAAATTGGTCATTTAGAAAAAGTAGACTCCAATCTTGATATTCATGTTTATACCTATCATAACAAAAAAATAAGGCTATATTTGTTTGAGGTGCAAATTAAATTTGCACTGGTGTAAATGCATAGGAATGGAAATGGCTATTAGTTTATTTTTGTTTAGACTGGGCTTTGGTTTATTTGCTTTATGAAGTAAAATAGGAAGTAATATGATGTGATCCCCACTTCATAGGAAAGAGAAGGGAAATTGATGAAAGGTCATATTTGGGAGGAATAAGGTAGGAAACAAATTGATGCGTTCCTTGCTTTATATGGAAGAAAACTAAGGTAGAATTAATACAAATTCTGCATCAATTTTCAATTTTTAGATACAAAATTTGCATTACTAAAGTGCCAATTAGTATAAATAAGATAAAAGTGCAAATTTTCAAGTAAGAAGAGTGCAAATTATGGAAAAATGATAATTACAATAACACAATTTCTATAAATGAACCAAAACCTTGTAAGTTTTTTTTTTTTTCGAAAGCAAAACCCTTGAACATAGAACTCTATTTGCTAAATCATCATTTTCTCCTTCCCATCCCACGGTTCATTTGCATTTTGTTATAAGTTCAAGTGTTCTGCAAAGAGAGGACAGAGAGAAAAGAAATGTGAACTATCATGCTTAATAAGGTTTAGTTAATTCAACTTCATCGCTAGTTTAGTATTTTTTATAATTTTAACAGTCAACATAATGAGCTCACTCAGACACGCAGGGACTTTCAGTGGAATTTGGAAGAATCACAAGGCAACTTTGCATAAAGTGATCGGCAAGGGGTAGGTAAAATATATAAAAGGAAAGCCCTAGCTTGAAAATTAGCCCTAGCTTGCAAATTACACTTACCAATAATTTGCTCATATCTACGGGTTTGCTTTTAAAAACCCCTCACAAATTCCACCGAACCCTGTCCCTTTGATTTTCTTTCTTTGTCTTGCGAGAGAGGGCTGCTTCTGCGTCTGCGTCTGCGTCTGCGTCTTCTGTATCCTTTTTTTCGTTGTTCTTGATTGCTTTCCCTAAATCTCACCTTTAATGGCGAACAGCAATCTACCCCGGAGGATTATCAAGGTACTTGTCGATCTCCTTCCTTCGATCCATCCGTGAATTTCGTCGATCTTAGTCTCTGTGCTAGTGTTCTCTCGATTTAGAAATTCTTCCCGGATTTTGAATGTTTTGGTATTCTTGTCTTTCCCCGAGGACCTAGGATTGTGGTTCTTTTTTTTCTGTTAGTACTTATTCGTTTCTAGGGTTTCTAGTTCTGCTTTTGATGTCTGATTACTTTCTTCTGTGATCGAACAGGAAACGCAGCGGCTTCTAAGCGAGCCAGGTATTTCTTGTTCTTCTCTGTTGTTTGTTTCTATCTTTCATCCTTTTGATCTCTCAATTTCCCTCTTGCTTTCATTTCCATGTGTTTATTATCTCTGTTGTACTGATGTATATCTTGTCAAAGTGTATATCTTTTTGTTAAAAACAAGTATATGTCTTTTTGTTCATCTTTCATTTTTAGATTGTTTTTTTTTTCTGTTCTTCTTCTCATTATAAAATAATTATAATTATGGAATAGTTATGGAGGTTTTAAGATATTGAGATGTCTGAGTAGCCACTGTGTGGACATTTATTACTAATTCAAGGAATTTGTGTCATATCTTACCGTTCGTCATCTGGAAACAGCTCCCGGAATCAGTGCTTCTCCTTCCGAAGACAATATGCGTTATTTCAATGTCATGATTCTTGGCCCGACGCAGTCTCCTTATGAAGGTAACTTAGTATATCACGACCTTTTCTGGACTAGTTTTTTCTGACGTGTTGCTCTCTTTGGAAATGTACTGTCATTCATGTTTTTCCTGATTTCAAGTTGTTTTTGAAGTGTAATTACTATTGGTGCAGCAGCTTAGAAATGGACTGAAGAGTCAAATTGGAATAAACTGTCAATATCCCTCCATTGACAAAAGCAAAATGATAAATGTCCACAAACACGGAATAAGCTCTGAAAGTGCAGCTTCTTATCAGTTTTTTCTCAAACCTGAATACGTGCATATTACATCAGGGGCAGTGTTTTAAAAGAGCAAGTGAAAGGCGAGGTGTGCGCCTTTTTGAAGCAAGGCATAAAAGTACAAAAAATTGTTAAAAAATAAAGAAGTTAGAAAATTCAAAAAAGCCAGAAAATTCCAAAAATGCCAAGCAATTCAAAAAAATAAAAAATATTAAACATAATATTAATGAGAAATATAAACTTAAGTTTTAAAATTGATGTTTTTAAAACCTGTTATCTAAAATTAAAATACATAAACATAACATGTAAAGCATACTCAAATGGAAATTTAAAAATAAAATCAAACATATAAAACATTTTAAAGCATGTAAAGCCAGCCCACAATCTCTTTTTTTTTTCCTCAATTGCATTACTTCAAGTAGCTAATGTGATGTAAAACATATTACATTCCTGATTCTATGAGCTTCCTTTGTGCCACGCCCCTCGAGGCAAGCCCAATCAAATCCATGTTAGAGTCTTAAATTAGTTCTCACACAAAAAAATAATGATTTTATAATTTTAATTGCTTTTTAAGAAGATATTTTAGTAGGATGAATGAATGAATGGATTTGTTTGGGCTTGGTTCAAAAAAAGCAAAAAAGCGTAAAATTTTCAAAAGGTGCACTCTTGGGCTAAGGCGCAAGGTGCACCAAGCGCATGCCTAGGCACACTAAGTGTGCGCCTTTTGAAAGTGTTGCACCTAGGACTTGGGCAAGGCGCCTGCTCTAAAATGTGCCTCACCTGTGTGCCTAGGCGCACCTTTTAAATCACTGATAAGGGGAAATTGTTTTGTCAGAGAAAACCACATGTTTGGGTGAAGACAGTTGCACATTGCTAACTTTCCCATGAAATTTCAGTAGATACTGGATAAAGAAAAATTGACAATTTGAGATCCATTTTCTTAAGAGTTTGCCAAATGTTTTAATGCTAGTTGCCAGCCTGACACAACCCTCCTTTATTTGGCCTTGGGATCAGCATTGTAAAACAAGCTTATACTGATGGAACAAGAATTATGTAGCTGATGTCATAGATCATACAGTTAGGACAAGGCCTAGTTGAGTTGATTGGATAGAGAAAAATTGAATGTGCTTGAGAAAGGGGCAACCTGACAAGAACTAATCCCTTCTACAACTTTGGTGGCTTGAGTACTCTATCTCTTTTTATTTCCATTAAATACGGAAATTTAGGGCCAATAGGAGATACAAATAATGCACGTATTGTGTCTCACCCAATATCTTCTATTAACCAAACATTTCTTTTTTTTTTTCTTTTTTTTATGAGAAAATTTCAAAGTTTACTCTCACGTTTTTGGGTAACCAAATGGAGCCTTAAGGATCTGAGTGAGAATAACTTCCAATCCCTTTATTGTTGTTTGGTATTTGGCGCTTCTATTTTTTATTTCTTATATTCTTTTTTATCTATAATTCCATACCTACCTCTTATACACTCCAATTTGCAATTTGTAATCTTGTGGGTTATTGCTCCTTTTCTCTGTCATTATTATATGTGTTGTTTGAAAGGAAAACCAGCTAATTTGTAGATACTGCAATAGCTGCCGTTTATCTGTACCCTTCAGCATGTGGTTATTTTCTCTGTTTCTTTCTCTTTGTCCCACCTTGTCTCCGACAGTTCTGTGGAGTTAATACAATCTTTTCCTATTTTTGATCTCTGCTCAGGAGGGGTTTTCAAGTTGGAGTTATTTTTACCTGAAGAATATCCAATGGCTGCACCCAAGGTATGGTATTCTTATAACTCTGGCAGTTCTGACATTTGGTGCAGGATACTGCTTTAATGGAATTTTGATTTACTTGCTGCTTATTATAACTTCTGATATTTGTCTTGATGGCCAGTTTTGTTATTCATGCATTATTAATTTTAAAAACCTACCAACTAAATAAGCATTTTTTTTCATCTTTTTGGTTTGTGAAACTTTATAATAGGGAATGGAAGTAGTGTATCATGTATGCCTTATCACCTGAGAATGTAATTATCTGCTTTTCTCTTTTGAAGTTAAAATTTAATCCTTAATATAGAAAGCTGATGGGAACATATTTTTTGTTGAATTGACATGTTTGCTATGTAACATTGCCTATATTATCTAAATTGCTAAATCTTCTGGACAAGACATTATACGGAAAGGATGGAGTTTCTGCAGTGTTTTGGATGCTACAATATATGTATGTTTTAGATTGCTCTATGAACCACAGCTGCTGAGATTTCTTGCCTCCATTTATATTTATTCTAGCATTATTAGAAATGGCATTTAATGTATTGAGTCTCTTATTTTTTTTTCTTCTGTCTGCTTTTTGGCACTCTTATCACCTGTAATTGGTAACTAAATTCACAATTATTTGGATTTTATATGAGTGAATCTTATTTCACCACCATTTTGTGCAACCAATGTAGTTTTAACTGAACATGTTTCCTATTTTGAATGTTGCTACTAGTTAGATTACAAGTTGTTTCTATTTGTGACAACTTATATTATTTTGACTCTCAGTTTTTATTTTGCTAACTGCTACTAGTTATAGGCTTGGACGTTGTTTCTCTTTGCACTGACATACTCTGTTTCTGACTTTCTGTTGGTTAACATGGCTTCTCTCACTGTGATACTGTGGGTTAAACATTTTGCTGCAGAAAAAAATGGAGTTTGTCCCATGAACGAGTAATAGTCTATTGCACAAGGATGTTCAAGTCAAATTTACCATCTTTTTCAAAAAAAAAAAATGCTACGTGATTACCAAATTATCATGACAGTCAAGAGTCATCAGCAACAACAAGTCCCAATATTGAACGAGTTTGTCCCATGAACCAGTAAATGTTTTTTGCCCTAGTAACTTTGTAAATTGCCATGATTGAAGGAAGATCCATTTGTATATATTTCCTTTTACCAATTGTCATGCAACTTGATTTGAAAATAAAAAAAAAGAATATGATAAAGGTAAAGTTCAATATTGGGATTTGTTGTTGCTGATGACTCTAGGCTGTCATATGATAATTTGGTAATCATGTAGCATTTATTTATTCATTTTTTGAAAAAGATGGTAAATCTGACCTGAACATCCTTATGCAATAGACTATTGCTCAGGTTTGAATAATTCTATGCTAAAGGTGAAGTTCAATATTGGGATTTTTGGTAACAGTGCACTTTTTTATGCATGCATACATGCACATGTGCCTTTTTTTGAAGCCGGGGGGGGGGGTTATAAGTGGAAAGCAGATGGTTCCTGTTAGAAGAGCCATTCAAGGAAATTGTTTAACATGCTTTAAATTTTAAAATATTCTATTTTATTATAAAAAATAAATGATATGTTCATCATGGGTCTAGATTGTTGATATGCTGTAGAAATTTGTTGAGGAGTCATTCAGTTTTATGGTAAGAATAAAGCTTTCCTTTGTTTTTTCAATCTCTTTCTCAAGTCTGGCACTCAGGTAGAGCACCTCCATATATCTCCATGTTCCAATCACCCAGCTTCCCCATTGGCTGATTTGGGTACTCATTTGAGCTAGATGTACAAAGCTCCCTTTTTACAGTCTCTAACCTATGGTAATTGGGGGGCTTTTGAAGCGACAGAGTGCTTCTTTGGTAATTAGGTTATTTTGGAGATCAAAGAAATGATATACAAGGTTCCAGGTGGATGTTTGTATCAACTACGTCTGTTTTATGATTTGGATGATGGACCTGGAATTCTAGAGATGCCCTTGTTTCCTTTTCTTTTATTTTTCCATTTAATGTGTTTATAACTTTGTCAAGTGTTGAATGACATCACATGAATCTTTTCATGTATTTTGTCTGTTCAGCATGAAGATTATTTTATCATCGCTTGTACCATTTTTTTTTTTTACTTCTGACATCTAGGTTGTGGAAAATTGTTTTCCATATACTACAACCATTTGGGCATAAAGTAAGCACTATGTGCTTGTTTCCGCTCTTACTAGTACCCAAAGATCCGATATATTACATCAAAAATGATTTTTTTATTATTTTATTATTTTTTTGTTATTGTATCTAGAATGAATTTACCATTACCAACCATATTTCTGCATAATATGCTATAAGTGCATATAACTGTACTCATTAGAGAAACTCCAAACTCCATGATATTCTCCCTAATCCTGCCATTCAATTCTGGTCTAGTATTAATGGATGTACTCCAGCCTTTTCTTCCCTCTGAAAACCTCTCAACCCGGGGATCCATATCTTAGATAGTGCTTCTTTTCCTTTTTGTGTTTTTCACCCTCTGAAGCATAGTTTTCAAGGTGCCAAGGTGAGGCTAGGCGACTGGGGGGCGCCTAGTCGCCTAGGTGATGGATTTTTTTTATGTTAAAAAATAGATCCTAGGGTAGTTCCCTAGGTACCATAACCATATTTCTTTAATAATTATTCATGGTTTTCATAAGAAAAGTATAAATT